GGGCGGATCCGCCCCTGAGTCCATTGCTATCTGGGCCGTCTGGATAACAGCAGACTGACTGCTGGTAAAATATACGACAGGTCTGGACCACTCCTGAATTTTGTTCGTATCTGAAAAAAATCTTAGAATACGAAAACATTGGTGAATGCCACAAATTCTCCTAAATCACTCGTACGCACAACTTAAGAACAAATCTGTGCGTACCAACGGTTCTTGCATGAGGCCCAATATGTGTAATTTTAGAATTGAAGATATGTACCAACTCATCTACATAATTAGGTGGTGAGGTGGTAAAATTGATAATAAAAATTTTCTACTGAAGAATAAATTTTACAGGGCTTGGTTATAGGAGGTGGGCATCGATTTTACAGCTTTAGTTCTGAATGCACAGTAGGAGCAATAGGATGGATCACTGGTTCCTGGAAGCCTGGTCTTACAGTGTAGACTCTATCTTCCAAAATCCCAGCTATAAACCTGCACACAACTCATTGGTATATTTATAGGTATTCACAAGTTAATTGGTTTTTATGTTTAATTCTTTTTGCAGCTTGGACTATGAGGAGTGTGCTCACAAACTAATTAAGATGGACTTTCCTGAATCCCAAACTGTAAGTCCACAAACACACAAAATCAACACCCACTTACAGAAATTAATCTCTCTCTATAATGCACATAGTTCTGCTGTTGAGTTTATGTAAATTGTCTCGACAGTTTGACTTTAGTAAAGTTTCATTAATGATGTGTTTTGTGTTTGTGTAAACAGAAGGAGCTGTGTAACATGATCCTGGATTGCTGCGCTCAGCAGAGGACCTATGAGAAGTTCTTTGGTCTCCTGGCAGGGGTGAGATGCCCCACCATGCTTTGATATTATCATAATTATTGCATAATAAAGTAGAACTAAAATAGTTCCTGGATAAAGGGCTTGCCATGTGCCGTTTAATTTAAATAAAGATTTGAATTTACTGTTTGTTGGAGATCACTGTACCGTACCAAATTTGAGCCAAATATTTGCATTTTAGGTATTGTAACCATCATTTACTCCTGTGTTTCTGTGTGCTTTTCTTTGTTTAGAGGTTCTGTTTGTTGAAGAAGGAGTACATGGAGAGTTTTGAGGCAATCTTTTCAGAGCAGTATGACACAATTCACCGACTGGAGACCAACAAGCTCAGGAACGTGGCACGACTGTTCGCTCATCTGCTCTATACAGACTCTGTACCATGGAGTGTAAGAACCCTGAAACTCATTTCTCACACACCGTTACGATGATTAAATCCTCCTCATCCTGAGTGTGTTTCCTCTCTTTATGACTCGACCAGGTGCTGGAGTGCATCAAGATGAGTGAGGAGACCACAACATCGTCCAGCAGGATTTTTGTGAAAATCCTTTTTCAGGAGCTTTGTGCCTACATGGGTCTGCCTAAACTCAACCAGCGGCTGAAAGACCCGTACTAACACACACACACACACACACCGAGAGACATTTTAGTATTTATTAATATCAGTATCTTATTAAGAGAACAGGTTTTCGTTCATATTCCGTTACAGGGGCAGACATAAGGACATTTTCCAGGTTGTCCAGCAAACAACCGCTTGACAAAATCTGATTCGCCTAAATTTGTGTTTGTCTGATCCTTAGAAAAAAAATGGGGGGAAAAAATCAAGAAATTTTTCATTTGAAGGGGGAAAATCAATTTTTCAGCTTTAATTCATGTTGTGTCATTCCCTCATCAAACCCATACTCAGAGTGTTGCTTTGACTCATTCATGCCTGTTTGAGAAATGCTTGAATTTTCTGTGGTAGCCATGTGGAGCTGCCCTAACACTTGATGGTACATAGCACCGCCTARTTGTACATAGCAACTCCCTGGAGCTCAGTCTGCGTCCAGTCTCTTGCCCCACATAGCACCCCTCTCCCGAAGCATTGTTAGAAAATGTGCTGAAGTGGGAGTGTCCAAAACGGTAGGAGACAGGGGCCAATGTCATGGTGTTTAGAAAGGCTAAATTATTTTTTTGATATATACAGCATTTTCATAACAACTGGAGGTAACATAGTTCATTGTGGTGTAGAATTGTGTATCTGGAAAATACATAATACATACTACACTATGTACAAATGTTCTCAGTCAGCCATCCTGACCATCACACTGTGTGGTTGTATGAAGTCTTTTCACATTCAAACATTCATAGATTGGTGTATTTTGTATCTGGTAGAAACACATAATAAGGTAAACAAACATGTAAATGAAGCAGAGCCTGAGGACCCTGGGTCGGACTCTCCAGTCTCTGGTGCCGAGGTCACTGAGGTGGTTAAAAAGCTCCTTGGTGGCAGGGCACTGGGGGTGGACGAGAGTTGCCCGGAGTTCCTCAAGGCTCTGAATGTTGTGGGGTTGTGTTGGTTGACGTGACTCTACAACATCATGTGGACATTGGGGGCAGTTCCCCTGGACTGGCAGACCGGGGTGGACCACAGAGTGTATTCCAACTATAGGGGGATCACACTTCTGGGCCTCCCTGGTAAGGTCTATTCAGGGGTCCTGGAGAAAAGGGTCCGTCGGATAGTCGAATATCTGATTCAGGAAGAGCAGTGTGGTTTTGGTCCTGGTCGTGGAACACTGGACCAGCTCTACAGTGGGGAAAATAAGTATTTAGTCAGTCACCAATTGTGCAAGTTCTCCCARTTAAAAAGATGAGAGAGGCCTGTAATTGACATCAAAGGTAGACCTCAACTATGAGAGACAAAATGTGAAAAAAATTTGAGAAAATCATTTTGTCTGACTTTTAAAGAATTGTTTTGCAAATAATGGTGGGGTCGTGGGGTCAAAATGATCACAAGAACGGTGAGGAAAAATCCCAGAACCACAAGGGGGGATCTAGTGAATGACCTGCAG